AGGCGAAGCTTCACTGTTGCAACAGAAGTGTGTGTGGGATGTTCATTCTATTTTCCCTTGTGGCTCTATAACACTGAAATAAGTCAAGCAACTTCTGCCACATGTGCACATATACAACTATTTGTTTATTTTGATTTATTTAAAACATTTCTGTTCCATCCTATTTTCTCAGATGCAAGGCAGCTAACAACACTAAGTGTCAAGGACACAAAATATGACAGGTAAAAAATACCCAGATTAAAAAAGACTGTTCAAAAACGTACAAATTACAGATTAAAAGCACACCGTATTAAGAGATGCACATAATTAAAACCACAGAATTAAAACATGCTGACAAGAAGGATGAACTAGTGGGAGAAAATTTGAGGGAGAGTGACTTTGATAATTTTGGGGGCCCATGGAGACAGCAAGTCATTATCTGTTTTCATATGGTGTTTAAATTAGGCCCTGGTGGTGTGTAGGGGTGCCAGTTCTGGGTTAGGAAATACCTGGAGAGTTGGGGGGTAGAACCTAGGGAGGGCAGGTTTTGGGAAGGGGAGAGACCTCAGCAGAATATAATGCCATAAAGTCCACCCTCAAAAGCATCCATACTCTCCAGGGAACTGATCTTGGTCATCTGGAGATCACTGTAATAATGGGAGATCTCCAGGTGCTACCTGGGGGTTGGCAACCCTAGTGGTGGGAGAATTGGGGGAGGGGTCTTTGTCTGGGTAGCCCCATGTCTTTCAGCAGCCTTGAAAAGGGAATGTGACATGTCTTAATTACAGATGCCATCATGATCAAATTGCGTGTGGATGATCACTAGGAAGGGTGTACCAAATTTCATAGATATCAGATGAAAGGAGAGGGAGATAAAGCAATTTAAAATTTGAAGGATTTTGGCTACAAGCATTTTCCAGGACCCCTGGCTTTCTGTGTGAAGAATGTGTGTGTGTGATACGAAAGATTATTCAAGCATGCAAGTTACCCACCTGCAGTCTGACATGAGGCAGTCTAGGCACAATGGGAACCTTGGTGAGTATTAGCCCTAGGATGCTTTTGATCCTGTGTGTGTTGCAAGTGCATCTTGTGTATTACAGTCCTACAGTACCCAAGATACATTGCATAATATTTGAACATAATGAGATGCCAGGCTGGTGCAACTGACTCAGTCATGGATTCTGCCAAGTGGTGCTGCTATTGTTGCTGCCAGGTCCTGATAAGCCTCCTTCCCATTACAAAGCATTCACTAGGAGCTACCTCATAGCATCATTGACCCATGCAAATACCTAGAGGCTTAGTTTCATCTGATATTTCTGGTTTCTGATGTGTTGACTTGCAAGTTCAAAACACTAACTCATTGAAAATCCAAAATGCATATAAATAATTATATAATGCAATAGGTGGTATATACTGTAAGCGTCATAGGGCAGCTGGTTAGAATTTTCCAGATTAATATGAACACACACGAAGCTGCTTTGTACTGAGTCAAACCATCAAGCTCATTATTGTCTACTCAGCTCTCCTTTCATTTCACCTATTACCCGATCCTTTTATCTTAAAATGCCAGGGATTGAATTTAGGACTTTCTTCATGCGAAGCAGATGCTCTACCACTGAGGCAGAGCTCCTCCCAAACATGACACTTCACACATGTAATTTGTATGTTCTGGTAGTAGTGGGAAGTCTGAATCTCCAGAAATTTTTAGAGAACAAATCCTTGATCATGGGGCAGAGTATCATGGGGGATGGTGACCTCCCTTTTTTCCAGCATGGTGTGTCTGTGTTGTCCTTTTCTCTCCCCCCCCCAGGCTGGTCCCCACTCCAGGCACAACTGAAACAGTTCCCCTACATTTGCGTTGGAGAGGCTCCCCCCACCTCCTTTGCTGAGCTTATGTTTGGGAAAGGATTTTGTGTTTCTTCCCAAATCCCTGAATGTTCTTGTTGAGGCTCAGTCTTTTTCCCCTGTACTAATATTCTTGGTATTCCCTCTTATATTTCCTTTTCTCTGCCTGCCCGCACAATTATTTTTCTCCTTTCTCTCTGTCCCTCTGCTTGCAAACATTTCTGTTTTTCACTGTCTTTCAAAAGTGGGAGATTACAGTTGTAGGTTGCAATACTGAGCACATTTACTTGGAACTAAGTCCAGCTTTAATCAATGGACCTTTCTTCTAAGTGAATGCATTTGCAATAGGAGTGTTTGTCTGTACTGAAGATGGAATGTTCTTTTACCATGGCAGAAATGTTCTCATTGGTTTATATTTATAAAGCTTTGCCAGAACAGGTTGCCTGCAAACTCCTGCTGAGTTAATAAATGTAGATTGTATTGTAGAGCAGAAAATTGCCAGAGCAGCATGTTATCTCTTTGTTTTACCTTGTTATGCAATAGAAAGGAAGGCAGATTTCAGTGCATGTGAGACACATGTGTGCATATCATGCTGCCTGACATCCAGTGGATTAACACATTCATACAGTATTCAGTCAACTGTCATTAAAATTAAATAATAAATGTGGATACACATTCTTGTTTCCAATCTGTTCATGGTTGTTTTCTCTGTTAAGATTGTCAAGATCTACTATTACCAGTACTTATGGGGGAAAACTCTTATTGATAAGGCTTGGTAAAGAGGGTTGGTAACACTCTGTTCTTAGCTGGGAAATTGGGACAAGTTGGGCTCTGTAAGTACAGCAAAGCCTTTTAAGAACATAAGAAGAGCCCTGCTGGCCCAGACCAGTGGTCTATCTAGATGAGCATCTTGTCTCACACAGTGGCCAACCAGTTCCTCTGGAGGGCCAACAACAGGGCATAGAGGGCAAGACTTTCCCCTGATGTTGCCTCCTGGTACTGGAATTCAGAGGTTAGTGCCTCTGAATGTATCGGTTACCTTCAGTCACCATGGCTAGTAGCCACTGATAAACCTATTGTCCATGAATCTTACCTAATGCCCTTTTAAAGCTGTCTATTCCTGTGGCCATCACTACATCTTCAGGCAGCGAATTCCACATTTTAATCACTTTCTGTGTAAAGTATTTCATTTTGTCCATCCCGAATCTACTGCCTGTCAGCTTCATTGGATGCCCTCAAGTTCTAGTATGTTGGGAGTGGGGAAAAGTTTCTCTTTGTCAACTCTCTCCATCCCGTGCACAATTATATAAACCTCTATGCCCCCCCCCCCAGTCATCTTTTTTCTTAACTGAAATGTCCCACACTTTTCAGCCTTTCCTCATAGGGAGGGTGCTCCAACCCCTCAATCATCTTGGTTGTCTTCTGTACTTTTTCTAGCTCTGCAATGTCCTTTTTGAGATAACGGTGACCAGAACTGTACACAGTATTCCAAATGTCTCTCACTCTGCAGAAATCATGAAGGACACAAAGTCAGTTTTGTAGAGCTAACGTCTACATTTTGTTGTAACCTTTTTTCAAACAACATGAATTTGCACATTCAGAGCCACTGCTGTTGCCTCTCTGCTGATTATTTAACCAAAAGTATGCTTGGTAATGCAAGCACAGTGGGATATAGGGCACTGGGCCAATTCCTGAGTGATAATTGACCTGAATTTAAACAACTTTAGGCACAGCTGACCCTAAACTGAAAAACTGTTCTGGATAACAGTCATGCTATTATGTAAAGAGGCTGAACAGTTGTATCTTAGAATATTTGGGGATGTAATATTTCTTTATTGCAATTATATTTTATTAATGTGTGTCACTCAGTGTAATTACCTTTAAACAAGCTAATTATTATTGAGTGCATATTTGCCTACATTTAATTTCCCAACTTCCCCTTGTCCTTCAGTGTAGTCATCTCAGTTTTATATCTCTCATATGAGTTCCTTGTAATTAAAACCTTGGTTTTTTAAGCCTTTTATGTATCCAGCACTGTTTCTACATAAACAAATAGATAACCACATAAGCAGGAAACCCTGAAAAAAAGGGGGGAGAGTGAGACAGAACCAAGAAAGAAGGGGAGAAGAAACAACTAGGGTTGCCAACCTCCAGGTGGGGCCTCAAATTCTCCTAGAATTACAAGTGATCTCCAGACTACAAAGATCCATTCCCTTGGAGGACATGACACCTCTGGAGGGTGGACTCTATGGAATAGCATCCCTACTGAGTTCCCTCCCCTTCCCAAAGTCCATCTTCCCCAGGTTCTATCCCCAAATCTCCAGGAATTTCCCAACCTGGCGTTAGCAACACTAAGAAACAAACATACTGATGGTGTGTGTTATGTATTACCTTATGTAGATAGCCTGAATGAAGAATGAGCCCAAGCTTCAGTCACAAGCTCCATAGACTCTCAGCATCCTAAAATCAACAACCTGATTGGCTGCTGTTGTAGAATGGACCAATCAAGAAAGACTATGACTTTCGGTGGGAACAAACCCTATTGGTCTTAAGCCCTCACTCATGATTGGACCTTAGTATTCTAGAGGTGTGGTTTAGCTAGTTCCAGATTGTATATAAATTGGGATTGTGCTGTGTGTTGGTTGTTGTGTTCTGAGCTGAATAAAGAAATCACTTTTGAGAAAAGCTGCCTCAAGCCCAGTATATAATAGCGTGCAATTAAACTTTCTTTTTTTCTACCACATATATTTGCACAAACAGTCTTGGTATTTCTTTACATCTGTCTTCTGTGCCGCCTTGGATAAATGACTGCCACATGGGCTGCTACCGTAGAGAGCCTTGTGCCATCACTCAGTCACTTCATCAAGCCTCAATGCTGTTAAGACTGTAGTACGGGGCTTCTAGATTACTTCTAGACTGGCTTGAGCCTTAAGTGCCTGTCATTGCCTAAATGAGCTCAGCAGCTACTTCTGGTGAAAAAGGAATTATTCCATCATTACTTTATTAAAACTTGATCTTTAGATGCGGACTATTCCAGAGCTTTTTTATTATTACTATACTATCATAGCGATTGTTGCATAAATATGTTGTTAAGACACAGAGATCAAGGGCATAAGATTCTTATACAAGTAATGTTTTACAAACTGAGACAGTTTCCCTATTGTTTTCTTTCTTAGTGAATTCTTCATGCCTGGTTTGGTTGACACACACATCCATGCTCCGCAGTACTCTTTTTCAGGGACACGAGTAGATCTGCCTCTTTTGCAGTGGTTGAAGGCATACACTTACCCAACAGAAACCAAATACAAAGACAGTGATTTTGCGGAAGAGGTGTACACTAGAGCTGTGGTAAGTAAATTGTCTGCCTACCTTAATATTGGTAGGCATTATTCTGAGCACTCCCCTACATTACAGGTTTGCTGTATCACTACAGCTCATACTATGTTCGTAAGTTTAAGAACAGACATAACACCAAAATATCTTTTGGTGTTATGTGAACTATGGGTTGTCATGCTCCCTCTCACCTCCCCTTGCATGCTTCAGATCCATCTTTCCCTTTCTGGTTTTCAACAGACCGCAGCTTGTCATACAGTCATACAAGGTTTCCTGCAAACCTGAACTGGAAATCATAATTGAACAAGCAACCAAGATACTTAATATACTCTAAAGTCACTGCTAATGTTATGGACCTCTGTACTAATATCAGTTTTCAGAGTAATAAGAAACAGGAGGCTAAGGCAGAAATCCTATACACACTGACCCAGAAGCTCATTGAACTGAGTGGATAGTAGTTTTGAGAAAACACGCATGTCATCACGCTGTTGGTGGTGGAAAGTGCCATCAAGATGCAGCCGATTTATGGCGACCCCCATAGGGTTTCCAAGGCAAGAGATATTCAGAGGTGGTTTGCTCTTGTCTGCTTCTGCATAGTGACCCTGGACTTCCTTGGTGGTCTCTCATACAAGTACTAACCCTGTTTAGCTTCCAAAATCTGATAGGATCGGGATAACCTGGGCCATCAAGCTGTTAGTCACCAATATTTTAAGTTATTTTTACTATATCTTTCATACTTTTAAGCTAGAGAGAGAGAAGAGAGAGAAGAGCCTGGATTTATACCCCGCCCTTCACTACCCAAAGGAGTTTCAGAGCATCTTACAATCCCTTTCCCTTCCCTTCCCCACAACAGGTGGGGCTGAGAGAGCTCTCTTGAGAACTGCCTTTGAGAGAACAGCTCTGGAAGAACTTATGACTGACCCAAGGTTACACCAGCAGCTGCATGTGGAGGAGTGGGGAATCAAACCCAGTTCTCCCAGGTTAGAGTCCATGCTCTTAACCACTGCACCAAACTGGCTAAAAAGGGAGATTAGAGCAAAATTGTCATATAATGCAACCTACACTAATTCGTTGAGATAGGGTAGAAAAGAGAGCTAAGTAAAATAAACAAAGTGACAGATGATGTTGTTTTTGGGGAAAAAATACCTTAGGCCCCAATCACATGCAGAAGTTGCAACGGGATACTCACAGATGCCGGGTGGGTTTTACGGGCGCGATCAAACAGGCACATCTGGCAAGTGTCGCACACCCGTTGCCAACCCGTCGTGTCCGGCTGAAGATTCAGAATTAAAGGTACCAGAGAAAGTCCACTATCTAACGCTTGCAACGGGCTGCAGACGGACGTCCTTCGTCTAATTGCTCCAGCGCGCTCCCTTCGCTGCATTGAAGCGCACCAGAAACGTGCGCTGACGAAATGAAACCCCGATTCTCCACCGTCGCATCTGATCGCGTTCAGGCGGGTCAAAGTGCACCGGCACAAAAAGCCACGCCTCCCCTGCGTTATGTGGCCTGTGTGACCAGGGCCCTAGTTATTTTATTTATATGCAAAATTTATATCTTGCCTTTCTTTCCTCATTAGGGCCACTAAGGCGGCTTACAGATTAAAAATATACATAATAAAAATAAAAACACATCTTAAAAACTATTAAAACAGAACAAAATCAATAAAAACCAAAGCTAAAATACATATACAGAAACATAAAAACAACATAGGGCAGGAAGGAGGGATCAGGAAGGGAGGCCAGATGAAACAAAAATGTCTTCACCTGCTGGCAGAAGATGACAACACAAGGGGACAGACGAGTCTCACTGGGGAGAGATTTCCAGAGTTTTGGTGCCATGACTGAGAAGGCCATTTCCCTAATTGCCACCCAGCTGATCTCAGACAGCAGGGGGTACCTGAAGCAGGGCCTCATAAGATGACCACAATGGTCGGGTAGGTTCATAAGGAAGCAGGCTTCAGGTATTTGGTCACAAAGCATATAGGGCTTTTAAGGTCAGGAGACCAGCACCTTGAATTGTGCCCCCAAACAGGTTGGGAGCCAATGTAGATGGGCCAAGACTGGATTGATATGGTCCCTATGACCCACTCCAGTAAACATCCTGGCTGCAACATTCTGTACCAACTGAAGTTTCCAAACACTTTTTAAGGGCAGGCCCATGTAGAGCGCTTTGCATTAATCTAATCTAGATATAGCCAGGACACACACCACAGTGTCCAGGTCTTTTCTGTCCAGGAAAGGCCACAACTGGCTAACCAGTTGAAGCTGGTAAAAGACACTCCTGGACAAAGCTACCACCTGCTTATCCAGCAGTAGGGTTGACAGATGTCTTCCTCCTGCCAGTAGGAGGATTTGGGAGGCATTCCAGGGGTGGGCGGGGATGTCAGTGACGTGCTGATGTCACTTCCAGAAGTGACATCATTGTGTTGGCAACGTTGGGGCGGCACTCTACTTTTTGGGAAAACTCTATGGTAAAAATGGCTACAAACCATAGGGTTTTACCCAAAAAGTAAAGCGTCGCACACAACAGCGCCAATGCGATAATGTCACTTTGGGAAGTGATGTCAGCGCATCACCTACATCACATGGGGACATCTGTTTGGGGGCCGGTTTCCCCCCAACCAGCGAGCTGGAGCCTGCAAACATGGGTGATTCCTCACCCCAACCGGGAACCTTGCAAGTCTATCCAGCAGTACGCCTGAGTATAAGAGCACCACCAAACTACAGACTTGTTCCTTCAAGGGAAGTGCAGCCCCATCCAGAATGGGTAACACTTTAAGTCCTGTGTCAGACCTTCTGCTCACCAGTGAGATGCTAATTAAGAAATGCTTGCTGTTTCTGACAGAAACACTCACCTTTTTAGCCATGGTTCGTCGAAAGTTAGACTTATTTGTTTCTTTCCATTTGTTTCTTTCCTTTTGAAATCTTTGATACTTAAAACCACTCAACTTTGGCTGAGTTGTGTCCACTGTGTGTAAAAGGTTCAGGGTTAATTCACAAACCCAAATCTGACCATGTCCTTCTCCCCTTCAACAACGGTTTATTTAAGAACTTTTTATTTTTCTGGCTCCTTACTCTGGGAAATCAAAGACTATCATATCTAAAAACAAGAAGAAAGGATTGGGGAGTGATTTTTGGAGTGATTCAACAGATGGATTCTGATTCATGCTTGGAGGTTGGGAAATAATTTTTTGTTTGGTAAGATTTGCGGGGGGGGGGTCTTAGATAAAGTGGATTTTGGCCTCTGGTAGAATTTGGCTTACTCCACTGTCTTGAGTGTTTGCATAATCTTCAGTGGAATAGGTTATTAAGAACAAATAACTTTTTCTGGTGAAACTTACAATTCAACTAAAGAAGCAAATTCCTTTTAAAGAATGAAGGAAGCAGCATTAACAAAATCAAGAAATGTTGTGTATTATGTTAGTTTGTTTTAAAACAGAGTAGCTGTAAAAGAGTAAAAGGACATGAAGGAGATATAAACAGACAGTAATTTTATAGAGTTGCAGATGATATAACCAAGGCATCATTGCCCACTTCGTACACACTGATTTCTGTTGGTCCAACTGTGGTCTTTGGTCAAAAATGACTTGAAGATTTTTTTTTAATACTCTATAGAAATCTGCCACATTTGTTTACCAAAGGTTATAGTGCTGATACACTATATAATAATACACTATGTATAGTTATAATACACTATGGAGAACCCTTAGTTAATGATTTCAGTCTTCAAGCCAGTTGATCACTAATTCAAAAGACTCCTATAATAATTGATGAGCAAAGTGATAGCTCACTGCATAATTGTTTCTGCAAATAATTGAACTTTAAATTCTTTTTACAGAGACGAACTCTCAAGAATGGCACAACTACAGCCTGCTATTTTGCAACAATTCACACAGATGCCTCTTTGCTTCTTGCTGATATTATAGGTAAAATAATAAGCTGTTTCTAGAGGGTATTTCAGAAGGCACTGTTCTAAGCTGAAGCCAACTTAGTTATCAGATATTTCATCAATGGAATGATTCATACGGACGGCTTTTGTGTGTGCGACCCTAACTAATGCTGTGCAAATGTAATTGTGAAAAAAGGTCTTTGGACATATTTTGGAGACGTACCATGGTTTGAAATCAAAGGCAAATAATCTCAGTCATTGAAAGGAGTGGGAAGCCTGCTTCTGCAGAAGTTTGTGCAACAAGGTTTTTTTAACTCTCTCTTCCTTACAACCCTCTCAGATTCTTCATGTGTTTCTCCATGTAGTTAATAGCAGATCTGCCTTGCTGGGTAAGACTACCAGTGCAAAACTGTCCTGGCAGTAAGGCCCCTTAAATAGACTTTGGTAGGATTCTGAATGGACCAGTTCAGGATTGTCTTGTATGTCGCTCAGAGTTCACAGTATGTCACAATAGCCAGTGAAGGTTCTCTGGGAAGTTCACAAACAAGATACGATGGAAATATCCATGTTTTTTGTCCATGAATCTGTTGTAACTAATAGTTATTGATACATCTATTGATATGTATTGATATATCTATTCTCAATGAATTATAATGGGTTTGATCTTTCCATCTTCCCCTTTCCTGCAGCAACCCCCTATGTTCCCTAAAATACCGCTTCTGGGGTTAGTAGACCTCAAGAACAGAGTGAACTGCAACATGAGGGTCTGTAAGAGGGAGGAGGGAATTGGCAAAAAAATGCTCTATTTTTCTGGGGGAAGAACCCTGTTAGCAGAAGGATTCAACCCACTAGTAATACTTAGCACTCATATAGCTCCTTTGGGATGTTCATTCATTCATTCATTCACTCATTCATTCATTTACTTATTTAAAATATTTCTAGTGCACCTTTCCTTTTAAACATGAGCTCAAGGCAGTTTACAACGTAAAACACAACAGTGATATATAAGCCAAAGAGCTAAAAAACAGTGATATATAAGCCAAAGAGGTAAAAAACAAAGTAAAACCATATATACCATTAAAATATTACTCACCAAACTCCTCAGAAAGAAAATAAGCTCTTCCAAAGAATCAGGGCTTTCAGTGAAAAAGCCACAAAATGAGCCACCACCATCCCTACTTCCATATGGAGGAGATGGAAAGGAAATCCAGAGATGATAAGTGTAGCCATTGCACAAGTTTGTACAGGAAGAAGCAGCCTTTCAAATATTCAAATCTCAGGTCATAAAGAGTATTAGCGTAATAAATTCTGCAACCAGCCAGCGGTATGGCAGGTAACTATCATTGTCTTCATATTGCAGATGGAGTGCAGAGGCCAAAAGATAGTGACTTGCCCACAACCCTCTAGTGAGTTCACAGCTGAGATGAGATTTGAACTGAAAACATGATTTTATTTAACTATTAGGTTTCTATCACACTGTGTCTTGCATGCTCAGATGATTTTACATAAGCTTTTCAAATAACTTTTGCCCCCAAGGGGTTCACAGTCTTAAGAAATTAAATTGTTTGTGCATCAAAAAAGAGAAATGAAATATAAATAAGACTTGGCAGATATGAAATCTTTTTTAAAAATAGAAGCCAATACAAAACTGGTTTTTTTTAAAAAAAGCCCAAACCTATACCATGCCATAAATAACCAGTCCAGACAACTGTGAAAAGGGGAATGTTTTCTGTAAGGTTGTGAACCCTGAGTTGAGAAATTCCTGGAGATTTTGGGGAATGGAGCATGGGGAGTGGGGTGGGGGTTAGTGAGGAGAGGGACGTCAGCAGGGTATAATTCTATGGAGTCCATCTTCCAAAACAGCCCTTTTGTCCAGGGGAACTAAATTCTGTCATCTGGAGATCAGTCGTAATTCTGGGAAATCTCCAGGTCCCACCAGGAGCTCGGCAGCCCTCATCTTCTCTAATTGCATGCTAAATGGTCATGTGTTGAAGATGTACTGGAAAGGGAACGGAACTCAGTCCCAGGCACAGTGGTGTCTCTGTAGCTCTAGAGGAAGCTAGATCTTCATTTCAGGTCATGGAACACTCCTACTCTGTAGCTGAAGCAGAGTTATTTACACTTGTATTGCTATTGTTAAAATCCATGTGAACTACCTGAGAAATTGTTTGCTCAAATGGCTGACCACATGGGATCCAATTACACTTTTACAATGTCCAAGAAACCTCTGCAGCCCCAACACCAGAAAAGCTATGATGGTTGAGCAGCCTGTTATTATTTTCACATCGTTAATTCTGAATGTCTAGGAAATTAAAGTTAGTGCTCATTCTACAGTTGTCAATTTCCCCCCCATTGAATGGTGGTGGAGGTGCCAAAATCACAGTTCACCTAGGACACCAGGAACCCTGAATCGTTGGGTCTGCAACAAGAACTTTTACTGAAATGTTTTTATTGTGAGTTCCAAGCTGGTGTCAGAATCTAGGGTCAGTCCAAGCCAAATTCCAGGGTCAGAGTAAAACTTCAGTCCAGAGGTCAGTTACCGAGAGAGCAGAGTCCAGTTCAGAGCATTATGCAGGAAGCAAGGTCCAATGTCCAAGGTCATTCATGAGTGCAGGGAGGAAGATTCCAGAGTCAGTCAAGAGCCGGTCCAAGGGTCACAGGAGCAGAGTTCAGAGCTGTGCTCACTGAGTCAAGAGGTTCATGACTTGTTGCTTCCACATCAAGCAGTCTCCCTTTTATAGGCCTTTGCTGGAGGGTCTTTTATAGGCCTCTGCTTTTATAGGCCTCTGCTGGAAGGTCTTACTTACAGCTAGCTGCTTGAGAGTAACCCTGCAGTTATTCATCATCAGCAAGCAGCTGATGTTGGGCTAGGAGACTTGTGCTTTGTCTTGTCTCCTGGAGCTCCATTCTAAGCCTTAGTCTCCGGCACTCAAAGGGTGTGGGTGAAACTGGAGGGCTGGTAATGGCCCCCTGGGTTTCCTCTGTTGAAAGGTGCTGGTGGCTCTGCATCAACTGTTGGCTGTGAACTCTTGACAAGCCTGCAGCTCATCTTTTTGGTTGCCAATTTCTACAAGTTCAGAACTGATTTACTGAGGCTCTTCTTCTCCTGAGGAGTCTTCGCTGTTGCTAAGTCCTGGCTGACCCATGACAGCTAGGAACACCTTTGTTCCTAGGTGTTCAGGAGCACAGTTCAGATTGAGACCTTGTTACTCAGGGAGAGCTGATTAAACCTTCTTTGTATGGTGTTTTCCCAACTTAAAATGACCTCAGGGGATGCTGTTTAGCCCCATTGGAGAAAGGTGCATGTAAAATTGGGAACCAGTATAGATAGAACAAGACTGGAGTAATATGGTCCCTCTGACCCATGTCACTCTACCAACTGCAGTATTCTGTACCAAATGTAGCTTCCAGCCAGTCTTCAAGGGCAGCTCCACTTAGATTGTACTGCAATAATCTAATCTGAATGTTACCAGGGCATACACTACAGTGGCAAGATCTTTCCTACCCAGGAACGTATGCGACTGGCTCACCAGCCAAAGCTGGAGGAAGACTTAAGCTCCCTGTCCCCATGGGCCCAATATATGGGGCCCTGTGTGCCTGGGAACTGAGTTCTGAGCAGGGGACTGGCAGCACACATCTACATGGAAATCCTTGTGGCAGGCCAGTGTAAGATCTAGTTAGGACTGAGTTCCACCCGTGCAGTGTTTTCTAGGGGGATACTTGCATGTAGGTCTGCTAGGTTTCCTGATCTAGCTGGAGAACTCAAGCCCAGCAGCCCCAAACCCACCCACCCCACTCTGTAGGTGGCAGGGAAAAATGGAGGCAAAACTGCCATCACTAAACGATGTCACTTCTGGGTTTATGCCAGAAGCAACATCATCACACTGGGGTGACACTCTGGGAGCATCACCCTGACACAATGATGTTACTTAAAGGTTGTGCTGCTGGAGCAGTAGCAGTTTACATGTCCCTGTCCCACACCATCTCCTGCCCGTTGCCAGTGCTGACAACCCTACTTGTGTGGGTGGCTGCAGATATGAAGCAGGCCTACAAGGGCAAAATTTGTTGGCATGGTGTTAAAAGAAGAGCTTGCCAGCAGTGCAGGTGGAAAACATTCTTCTGAGTTTTGTTCTCTTTCATTCCTCGCAGATAAATTTGGACAAAGGGCATTTGTGGGTAAAGTTTGCATGGATATTAATGAGAGTTGTCCAGATTATAAAGAAACCACCTCAGAATCTATCAAGGAAACCGAAAGGTAAAGATCTAATGTGACTATCCTTCCTGTACACACATGGCATAGGGTTGCCACTGCCAGGGGATGGGGGTGTCAGGATGCCAGATCCTGAAGATTTGGGAATGGAGCCTGGGGAGGACAGGAACCTCAGTGGGATACAATGCCATAGAGCCCACCCTCCAAAGCGTCCATTTTCTCCAGGAGAACTGATCTCTGTAGTCTGAAGATGAGCTGTAATTCTGGGGATCCCCAGGGCCCACCTGGAGCCTGGCATCCTTAACTTGGCAGTATATGTTTCTTAAATGTGCTGAAACAGGAAGTGTAGCATCCAGAACTTAGAACAGAACCTTAATCAAAATGGAAAGACTGAAGGTTTTGTCAGAAAAAGTTTTTATTTGTCAGGAAAAGTCTTAATCTGATTGTGCCATTATGACTATTTTTATAGCCATGTAAAATCCATCTCACCAGTTACCAGTGCAGTAAATTAATGAGGACATATTTCTTCTTGAATATATTTTCAGTTTTTTTAAAAAAAACAAAAACAAGTGGTGTCTGTTTCTGTTTTCTTTATTTTTAAGTGACTGCTTTAGATCAGTAGGTAAAACTAGTTTTCACTATTTAGGACTTATTTCAGACTTCTAGTCCAGTTTTCAAAGAACTCTGCCAAAATAAACCTTTTTTAAATGAATGGCATCCGGCCACAGAAACATTTAATTATATAGTATGTAAAATATTGTGGGTGTTGTGCAGTAAGAGCCATATAATGTCCCTTTAGGGCAATCCTATTTACTGCCTTGCTGCCGATCGCCTCTTTGTTGCCTAGCAGGAGAAAAAAAGGGGGGGGGGATCACCATTGGCATGATAGCATTATGTCACATCATACATCTCCAGGAATTGCTGAAGTTTCCTGTGATTCCTAGACAGGCATTGCATCACTTTTAGGTTTTTCCTGGTAGAGATGTAGTCCCAGCACACTGATGGCTTCCCCTACATCCCCAACCACCCAAATTCCCACTGGCAACTCTATGTCCTGGCCTGCAAGCCATACAATTTGATTAAGGACAAGAATATTGGAACAGGAAGAAAGAGGTAAAAGGGGGAATGAGATTATGTACAACTTTAATTTTTTTATTTTCTTAATCACCTTTCCCACCAAAACGGTGCTCAAGGAGGTATTCAGGTTTACCCCTTCCTATAATACCACATATAAGACTCCCATAACCACTACATTCCAGTTTTCCTAGAACCTATGCCCAGATTTAGGCTACCCCTCGATTTCCATGTCACTTGCAGTTCAGGAGCCTCCACCTTCATTGCCATTTCTCTGCCATTCTTTTAAAAGTTTTCATAGAGGTACGACTGCTGATGGTTACAGAAATAATCACGCAGTACACCTCAGGACAAGATAGTGTAGTTTATTGAATGAAAACAATTGAAGACATATTAATAACTCTTGAGGGAATATAAATTGCTGCTTTTTAATGGGAATGTAAAAGGTGACTGTTACAAAAGTATTGGGTAAAGTTCAGCTATAGGGTCAGTAAAGTGAACACTTGACGCTGGGCTTATCCCAGAATCAGTCACTATGTCCCACACCCTTTCTCTCCTTTGAGTGATAATCTCTTTTTGTCTCTGTTTTAACAATTACCATTCCATTTCCTGTCCTTGTGGTAGGGTTGCCAGATCCAGGTTGGGAAATTGGAGGAGATTTGGGGGGTGGAGCCTAGGGTGGACTGGGACCTCAGTGGTGTAAAATGCCATAGAGTCTACCCTCCAAAACATCCATTTTCTCCAGGGGAACTGATCTCTGTAGTCTGGAGATGAGTTGTAATTCTGGGGGATCTCCAGGTTCCATCTGGAGGCTGGCATCCCTACCTTGTGGGAGTGGATGTGATAAAAGTTCAAGGATAAGCAATATGGGGCATGGAGAATAGCCGTGTAGCTCTTTGCTCCTACTTCCCTTTTAACAAGTTAAACATACAAAGAGCTGTGGGGCCATCTAAAAATACTAGGTTACATTACCGTTCAGTCAGTGACAGTGTCATCGTAAACAGCGTTTCAGCCTTCTAAAATCCATGAGCAGTGACTCAGCTCTGTAAGTCTTAGCACTCATCAACTCATTTATTTATTTCATTAAACTTATAGTCCTCCCTCCCCACATTGTAGACTCAGGGTGGGTAACAACATATATGTATCTGCAATTAATACAGATTTACAGTTTTAAAAACATATTACAGTAGTCAATTTAAAATCCATAAAATTATCAACCTTATTCCACTAAAACATCCATATTAAAACAACAACACGCCTCAATGGCAGATAATGTGGTCCCAGTCTGGCTTCCAGGATCTGCAGTCACTTTGGGGGGGGGGGGGTGCTTAATCAAAAGGTTGCCCACTGCCTCAACCAAAGGCCCAGTGGAAGACCTCCATTTTGCAGGCCCTACGGACCTGTAATAGGTCCTACAGGACCCTGATCTCATATGGTAGCTCATTCCACCAGGCAGGGGCCAGGGCTGAAAAAGCCCTGGCCCTGGTTGAGGCAAGTTGGACATCCCTTGGGCCAGGGACTGCCAGGAGGTGTTGACTGGCAGAACGTAATGTTCTATGGGGCTCATATGGGGAGAGGCAGTCTCAAAGATATGCAGGCCCCTGGACGTATAGGCCTTTAAAGGGAAGAAGAAGAGGAGGAGGAGGAGGAGGAGGAGATTGGATTTATACCACGCCCTTCACTACCCGAAGGAGTCTCAGAGCATAAGGAGTAAGCACCAACAGCTTGAAATGGATTTGGAATTCAATAGGCAGGCAGTGCAGGTCATGCAGCACTGGGCAGATATGTGCCCACACAGGCAATGACATCAGCACCCATGCCAGTGTGTTCTGCAGTAGCTGCAATTTCTGGAGCAGAGTCGAGGGAAACCCCACATAGAGAGAATTACAATAATCTAATCTGGAAGTGACCGTTGCATGGATCACTGAAGCCAGATGGTGGGGGTGAGGAATGGGGTCAGCTGCCTGATCTGCCTCAGAAGAAAAAAGGCAGACCTGGCAGTGGCAGTGAACTGGGCCTCTATAGTCAGTGAAGTCTTCGGGAGCACCCACACACACATCCATGACTAGCACTGAGGATGTCCTGTAATTTGGTAGACATGTGCAAATCTGAAAGATATTGGACTAGTTCTGCAACTAGGCTTGTAGGTAGTGGCTTCTTGAGATTTCTGCATGTACATTGCAGGCACTGGTATACATAGGATCATGTTTTTAGTACCCACATTTAGGGTGGTTTCAGGCTTGCAAAATGCCAGGCTTGAGTGTTGACATGCCTGTACTTAACTGGCTCACCACTGGTAGAGAACTGGTGTGTTTAGCTATATCAGAAGTGTTTTCACACATCTGGTATGTTTGTGACATGCCCATAGTATCAAAGAACTAGTGCCGCTTATCTAGGCTGTACTGTCAGAGGTGTCCTTAAAAGGCTTCTAGGAAATGCTCATTTCTCTACAAACTTTAAAAGTGGCCAAGTGTTCCATTCTAAGTAGAAGGGAGGTTAACAGTATCAAAAGAGGTGTTTTGAAGCAAATGTAAAATTAGATCTAAAATTTCACTAAAATCATCGTTTTGCATAAGTACAGTAAGTGAAGCAATTAATGCAATCTAAAAATAGGACTACCAAAATAGCACACATAGAGTTTTATGATACACAGGCAAAACTGACTTTTTTACTTTTAAAAAGGCTGCCACTGTAATATATAATTATGCCTTCCCTTGATTGTGTATGTTATCTATTTAGTTGTCAGAGGAAGCAGAGTAATAACTACTTGTCTGCTGTTAATTACTATCAGCTTGTGTATTTTTGAGGTCAAAATCCTTAGCTAGTTTATTTATTTGTAGTCTTATTAGCCTCCATGAAAGTGCTTATTTATTGTGCATTCACACTTCTTCTTTTTTGTACATGCACATATATGCAATCCATGTATAAAACACCACAATACGGAAACCAATACTATTTATGTATTTTGATTTCTCTCCCCAATTTTCTCAGGTTTGTTAGAGGAGTCCTGGAGAAGAAAGTAAGTAGAACTGCATTTCTCACCCTTGCTGAACTAATCACACTGCATTATAAATGCATGCTTTTTTTCTGTGGCCCTATTCAGACTTCATGAACAAGTTTTGTTCCTAAAGATCACAAGCCTGGCACGTTAGGGGCTTGCACATTCTTTACCCCTTCTCCTTACATGACATGAGGAAGAGTGAATACTTCCACTAAATTCCAGTTAGCACTAATTAGGGTTGCCATTTCCCCAAAGGGGGTGAGGGTTTCTCCCCAATTTCAGTGCCCTCAGTCCGCCGCCAGCCATCTGGCCAATGGGGGAACCCCGCCCCCGAAGAGCCCCATCCTACCAGATGTACCCAGTGCAATGACATCACCTGGAGGTGACATCATCGTGCTGGGCACATCACATGGGGAACGCTCTAGCATTTAGGCAAAAACCCTAATTCCAGTTAGCACTAATTAGGGTTGCCAAAGGGGGTGGGTTTTCCCCCAATTTCAGTGCCCTCAGTCTGCCGCCGGCCATCTGGCCAACGGGGGAACCCCACCCCCAAAGAGCCCCATCGTACCAGATGTGCCCAGTGCAATGACATCACCTGGAGGCGACATCATCATGCTGTGCACATCACATGGGGAACGCTCTAGCATTTAGGCAAAAACCCTATAGTGACCCAGCATGGACTC